ATTCTTCTGCACTCAGCCTTCTTTATGGTACAACTCTCACATCCACACATGACTACTGGAAAAACCTTAGCTCTAACTAGACGAACCTTTGTCCGCAAAGTAATGTCTATGCTTTTTACTATGTTATCTAGGTTTGTCATAGGAGCTAGAGCTGTTTAATTTCATGGCTGCAGTCACCATCTGCAGTGATTTTGGAGCTCAAGAAAATAAAGACAGGGTTACATGAAGCAAATAAAAGCTATGAAAGCTTCCATTTAAACTTGAAACATGCCTCTCCATTCATACCAAATTGGCCCAGAACTCAAAAAGACAAGCTTGCATGAAATGGGCAAAGAAGTGCGAATCCTCTCAAGTGAAAGGGAGGTTTGCCTTAGTCTAATGACCAAACTTGATATCAAAGGGCAGACACATATGATCTCACAGGTTGATAAATGGCTGTACATAATATTACTATATATGAATAACTGCAGCGTCTACCAGAAGTGACTTTTCCCTTCTTTGTTTACACTAAAGAAAATTACTGATATTAGATAAAATAGGGAATATCACTACAGACCATGCAGACATGAAAAGGATAGAAAGGAACTCTTACAAAAACTCAACAAGATTATAAGATGAAATGCACTAATTCCATGAAACCCATAACCTACAACAAATCACCAATGTTAAACATTATTTGAATAACTGCCTTGAATTGCAATGGAAATTTATAATTTCAAAATGCCCACCACCTAAGAAAGAAACTCAGAAGCAGAGATAGTGACTGTGAGAGCTTAATTAAACTCCTCCATCATGCTCTGCATAGACCCTGCCTGGGCTTTCTACATGTTCCCTCCAGATGTACCTTGTAGCTCCTCAAGATTCTGTGTAATAAACATCTCCACTTCACTCTCCCTCGCAGTCTTCTGCAGAACTGTTGCCTAACATTCAACACTCAGGGGCTCTACTTTACAACAGGTAATTTAACAAAGTTGCAACAACAGCATTTTACAATTCTATCAAATTTAAAAAGAATTACTGGCAATTCTATGTGATTTCTTTTCAAGAAAAGAAACAGAAGAAGCACCTTCAACTCAATTTGAGGCCAGAATTACTAGGTAACAAAACTAGACAAACAGAAGATAGAAAAATAGAAAGTAAATAATTAAATCCCCAATGAAGATTCAGATCCTCCATGAAGATTCAAAATTCCATCATAAAATATTAGTAATAGAAATGTAACATAAAAAATTCATATTAAAGATAGCATAAATCAAGGAATTCCCTGGTGGTCCAGGGTTAGCACTCATTGCTTTTACTTGTGGGGCCCAGGTTCAATCCCTGGTTAAGGAGCTAAGATCCTGCAACCTATGCAGCTCACCAAAAATGATAATATAAATCAAAATCAAGATCACTTAGCAAAGATAAATACATTATTCTTGGCTGTGAACAAATTCTATGTGGAGGATATTGGGTGTCCCACAAAAAAGATTTCCTGTCATGCTTTTGCCATCTCAGTTCTTTCACTGAATTAAAGCCCCAAACTAATTGTTTTTATGTTTATACTGCATCTACTTTGTACCCGTCATTGCCTTTTGAGCATCATTGCATCCTTAAGAGCCCAAAACCTAGTAACCACTGCTATAAAACAGGACAAACACATCTGTCAGGAAAAAAATTCTGCTAAAGAAATGACTGAAAGTATTTATTACAGCATAAAAGTAAACAACAACACATATCAGGTAATAGCATAATTTGAAACTGAAATTTAACAGCATTTGGAAAATCGAGTAAATTGTTTCATTACATTATCTAGTCAGCATTTCCAAAAATTAATCAAAACTAGAGTAAAAATATCTCCAGTTTATTTAAATAGTATCTTACAAGTATTTTACAGAACCACATCGAACATGTGCTGTGGAAAACAAATGTAATAAATTATTACCAAGACGAAAAGTGTAATTTTCCAAGCCAATTAAATCAGAAGTTTCAGGAGTAAGCAAATGGGTGTTTTGCTTTTTTTTTCTCCAAAGTAGAGAAGTTTAGCTTTATTGCTTTGCCAAGCAAAGGGGCCACAGTGGGCTAAAGCAAAACTGTGTCTCAAACAAGAGGGGGTAGTGAGTTTTATAGTAATGGCTCAAAGTGGGTGTGGTTAGGTCGTGAACTCTTCTTTGATTGGCTGGTGGTGAGGTAAGTGGCAGTCAGCATCAATAAACCTCCTGGCTCCAACTGCTCTGGGTTCTCCATGCTGGTGGGCAGCAGGCTTAGTGGCTCCCACCTGATGGGGGTTTCAGTATCTGGAGCCTGGACTTACTGAGGCTCAGGTTCTTTGTGTCTCAGCACAGAAGGAATTCAGCAAAGTGGCAGGCAAAGAAGGAGCAGACGTATTAATATAGGACGCTTGTGAGGCACACTAGTTGGCAGGTGAGAGGGGTCTGCTTCAGTTAAGTTCTCTGAAGTCTAATCCCATTTAAAAATATTTTTTTTGGCTTATGGGCTCTTAAGTTTCTTAACCATGAATTGAACCTGTCAGTTTGGCAGTGCGAGTACTGAGTCCTAACCACTGGACTGCCAGGGAATTTCCCCTAATTTCATTTTTGATGTCTGACTATTGACACTTTTTAATGTTCAGGAAGAACTTTTTCTTTTTCAGCCTATCGGAACAAACTAATTAAAGGGAAAAAAAGCCTGAGTGCTCCTTTGAGACAAACTGGAAGTTCAAACTGTAAGCCTGCCCTCTACGAAGGCTCATCCCAGTAATTAAATTTTCCTCTCATCTTAACTGCTGTCCCTACAATTCCCAAGATTAAGACTCATGTCTCATTAAACACAGATGCAGGGACTCCTCTGGCAGTCCAGGGGTTAAGACTCTGTGCTTCCACTGTAGTGGGCACAGGTTTGATCCCTGGTTAACCAAGATCGCATGTGCCACACGGTACAGCAAAAACACACACACACACACACACAGATGTAAACAACACCTATTCACCATGCAATGGAGAAACTAACCAACATTTTCTGGGCACTGTTCCTACCACATAATCCATCCCTAGTAACCTTCCCCCTCCTCTCATGAACAGTCCCATCCCTCAATGTCCTTACTGCTCTGTTCATGGTCACCTAGCAGAGGATTATGTTCTGTAACTCACTGTGCTCTATCCATGGATAGACCCTCAACCTAACAAGCACGATGGGCAACAACAATTTTACACTATTCTCTGCCCCTCCCTGATGCTAATTAATACACTACTGAATTTGGTAATTCAGGGTCTTTGTTTTTCCAGGGAACGTGGATGTGGATGAACCAAACCCAATGAAGTTGGCTCCTTCATTGACTCCTTACTGACTCCTTCCCAGAGACCATCATCAAAGACCTGTAATGAAGATTAAGGTCAACAGACTTCAAACTTCAGGTTGAATGGCATAAACTGTAATGTGGCCTCTTCAAGAAAACACAATTAGTAGAATATTTACAGAGTGAAGACAATTGCCAATTTATACATAGGTTTTCATGTCATATACAAATCATTCCATAAATTTTAACTTATTGTGACTTGTAATGATTCTGAAGAACATAACGATCTCCCATTAATCTTAAGAGAACTGCAGACTTACTTATTCCTTTTATGGATTGGCTGACACACAGGCTTATTTAAGAACTGTGCAAAAACTTTACCTACTTTGTTACATTTGTAAGGATCATCCCCAATATGAGGCATTTTGTGATGAAACCTCAGGAAGCATTGCTTCATCAAATTCTTTCCACGTTCAGTAAATCTCTTTAGTTTCTGACCTGTATAAATTGAACCATTACACCAAAGTTGGAGATATCTGATGAAAACTTTTATAACATTATATTTGAAACACTGCTCTCCAGATTAAATCTATTTCAGTGATTTTTTCTTCAGGTACAAGCCTTAGCACACATATTAGTTTGTGTGGTTTCCTTCAAAGGTATGTATTGAGAAGTCTGATGAATTGTGCAGCCTGGATAAAACCTCCGTTCATAACTCGGTAGGGTTTTTCTTCAATGGACTCTCCCCTGTTGCCTCATACTTGAACTCAAGGTGAAGATTTTGCAACACTTGTTACATTTGTAAGGGATAATTCCAGTAACTCCCCCATCTTATAATCTTTGGGTAAAATCCTTGCCACACATATTATATTTCTGTGGTTTCTCTCCAGGATAAATATTCCAATATCCAGTGATGAAAGAGCATTAATTTGGAACCTTGCCCCATTCATTACATGTGTAATGTTCTGTCCAGCAGATTATTTGATGACTGGTAGAATGTGAGCCACGAGCAAAGGTTTTGCCAATTCCTAACATTTGTGAGGTAATAATCTCCAGAAAGAAATCTTTGGTGAATGAATTCTTTGTCTAAAGGGCTGGTCAGACTAAACACACTTATCTGATTTCTCTCCAGAATGATATTTTCAATGAAGCCTAAGATGGCGACACCTGCTAAAAACACTTCCTTAAAGTTTGTCATCAATGTGAGTTACCTGACAGGAAGGTAGGCTTCACAGTACACTGACAAATTTATCAGTCATTATATTTGTCAGGTTTCTCTCCAACATGAAACATCGGTTCACCTTAAGGTATGAATTTGAATATACATGTCTAGAGCTTCTGTCCAGTTAGAGTAGGTGAAATCACCCCTGAATATTCATTGGAAGGACTGATGTTGAAGCTGAAGCCAGTACTTTGGCTACCTGATATGAACAGCTGACTGATTAGAAAAGCACCTGATGCTGGGAAAGACTGAAGGCAAAAGTAGAAGAGGGAAACAGAGGATGAGCTAGTTAAGACAGCATCACTGACTCAATGGACATGAGTTTGAGCAAACCCCAGGAGACAGTGAAGGACAGGGAAGCCTGGTGTGCTGCAGCCCATGGGTTTGTAAGGAGTCAGACATGGCTTAGCAACTGAACAACAACAAATGTAGTGACGGCTGAGATTTAAGTAAAGGCTTTTCAACAGTCTTTACTTTTGTAAGGTTTTCCTTTCGTATGAACACTTTGATGCTTTGCCAGGTACGCCTTTCGACTAAAGCAGCTGCCACACTCATTACATTTGTAAGGTTTCTCTCCAGTATGAATTCTCTGATGAATTGCAAGATTTGAATTCCGATTGAAGACCTTGCCACACTCATTACATTTGTAAGGTTTCTCTCCAGTATGAGTTCTCTGGTGAATTGCAAGGTATGAATTATAACTGAAGACTCTGCCACATATATCACATTTACATAATTTCTGTCCTGTATGGATTATCTGATGTCTCTTGAGGTTTGAGCTGTGATTAAAGATTTTGCCACAGTCTTTACATTCATAAGGTTTTTCCCCAGTATGAATTCTCCGATGAACTGCAAGGTATGAATTTTGACCAAAGACTTTCCCACAGATGTCACATTTATATGGTTTATCTCCTGAATGGATGATTTGATGTTGTATGAGGTGTGAGCCAAAATAAAAGGTTTTGCCACACTCATTACATTTGTAATGTTTCTCTCCAGTATGAATGATCTGGTGACTGACAAGGGTTGATCTAATACTGAACATCTTACCACATTCGTTACATTTATAAGGTTTCTCTCCAGTATGAATTCTCTGATGACTTGCAAGGTTTCCTTTTTGACTGAAAGCTTTGCCACATTCACTACATTTGTAAGGTTTCTCTCCAGTATGAATTCTGCGATGTTTTGCAAGGTATGAATTCTGACTAAACACCTTGCCACATTCATTACACTTGTATGGTTTCTCTCCAGTATGTATTCTCTGATGAACTGTAAGGTATGAACTTTGAGTAAACACTTTTTCACATATATCACATTTATATAAGTTCTCTTTTGTATGGGTTATCTGATGTCTGTTGAGGTGCAATCCACAGTTAAGGGTTTTGCCACACTCATTATATTTGTAAGATTTCTCTGCAGTATGAATTGTTTGATGAATAGCAAGGTCTGAATGTTGACTAAAGACTTTGTGACATACATCACAATTAAAGATTTTCTCTTCTGTATGGATCAACTGATGTTGAGTGAGGTTTAAGCGTTGATGAAAGGTTTGACCACTCTGATTACAATTGTAAAGGCTGTCCTTGTGTGCCCTCTGGTCTTGTGTCAGTATTGAAGGATGCATAAAATCATTCACACATGGATTACCAAGGTTGGACTGGATAGTAGAAGAAATTCCTTGAAGTGGTGAAAATGAGGCATTAATGTTGATACTCCTGTGAGCATCATTAAATTCATCAATTTTCTGTTCACTTTTACAAAGCTGCAGTTCATTCCCAAAGTTTAAAGGAAGTCTGTTTTCAATAGGCTGAATTCCTGCAAAGCATCTACCATGTCGCTGTCTCTTACAGGGGAGATTTTTGTCATGGGATACACGTTTTCCTTTGTAATTTGTTTCCTCATCTCTTGGCTGAGACTCAAAGTCACACATATTTTCCTGGATTTCCCTGAGGTAAAAATCTTCAATTTTATTCCTTTTGTGTCTTCCCAGTATCACTGTTGGGAATCCTTCTCCTCTATAAATGTTTGCATTTAGTTGTAATTTCTTGATAACATGCATATGAGAGATATCTACAAGATATAAAGAACCATAAGTAATCCTATTCATTACAATTCATAAGTAAATATATCATGTTAAATATGTGATATTACACCAAACTAGTACTGACATAAAAAGGAGTTATGAAAATTCCCAATCATGATATTAAAACCTTTGCAAACACAAAATGAATGGTTCTTTAGTAAAGATAAAGTGATCTGAGGTAATTCCACTTACTTTTAGGGCACCCAATTTTCAAACAACTTACGTAAAAACACTCATTGTAAAAACTTGTTACCTATCACAAGTGTATATGTCAACCATGACACCAAAGCACATAGCAATTATCATTAAAAATACTTACTGGTGCCTCATTAACTGAGGAGAAAATATTATACTATACATATGTTATACATACTTGTTAAATATAAATGAATGCTAAAAAATCTGAAAAAATATATTACAACAATGAATAATCCAAAACGAACTTATTTAATGAATAATCGCAATGAGTGGCAGTTTCAAATTCAGAAACAAATATAACAGAGAAAATAGCAAATGTGATAAAAGCTTTTTAAAAAATAAAATGTTCTTTTAAATACCTCCTATAAAACTATGTACCCATGAAGCAGCATAAAAATTCTAAAAGACCACCTTCTACAAATAAAAGTTAAATATTAATAAATGAAATATTCTCCATTTACATTAACAGCTATTACACAGAGCAACTCCCTACCTGTGCAGTGCCCTAAAATATCCAGGTCATTGCCTCCAAAATATATATTGTGAATTTATTTAACTAGGGTCATATACAATATGTTTGAGAACAAATTGCAAGAAAAAGGAATACAATATATAATAGAAAAAATGGATATAATAAACATACCTGAATATTATATTTTTATACAAAAGCCACTTTTGATTCGTTAATATAAAAACGCACTATTTCTGGAGTAGGAAACGTCAACCCACTCTAGTATTCTACCTGGAAAATTTCATGAGCAGAGGAGCCTGGTAAGCTACAGTCCAAGGGGGTCACAAAAGAGTTCGACATGACTTAATGACTGCATCTACACACACGCAATGTATAATATATAATTTTTACTACTGTAAAAATTTTAAAGCAAATAAAGATCTTTCTCAAAAGGGAAAAAAGAGCACTATTTCTGAGAATTCCCTGGCAGTTCAGTGGTTAAAACTTACCACTTTCACTGACCTAGGTCCAGGTTCCATTTCTGGTTGGGAAACTAAATCCTATAAGCAGCATGGTGTGCCCCCGACCCCCCAAAAAAAGACATTTCATGCCATCTAACATTACTAATTTCTTTTGAAAGTCTTGAGGAAAATAATCACAATGTTTCAAGTAAGGAAAGTGGAATCACAGATTTATATACATGACCCCAATTGACACTGAACACAGTGAGAACCACACTATGAATTTTGATCTACAGACTGAAACAACATATTCTTAAACATGACTGTCCACCCAAGCAGTCTAGATTACAAAATACGACAAATATCGGGAGTTAAGAAAGAAAACGTCAAGGAAGACACAAGAAGTGAGCTGTGTAATTACTAAGGGGATTCAGCCACCCCTCCTGGAAATGGTTTCTGAGTTGTCAGCTGCACTAAGTGATTTAGGTTGTGTCATGAGAAAGCTGTTCAATACACAGAGGTGTTATTTTTACAATGTAAGTAAAGTGGATGGTGCAGGGATGGTGAAAGAGTGCTGTGGAAATTGAGACGTTTAGGATAATAACTTAAATATACTAGAAAATAAGAATCTTTCCATTCACATCATGGTACCATGTAATAAGGAAAGATCAAACTGAGTAACAGCCAGGGTAGAGCACAGAGTACACATATCTGCATAGCTTTTGACTATGTGAATACCACTGTACAAGGGCAACTAAAACACTGACCTTAAAACAAAAGAAGAATTGGTTTAGCAATAGTATACTTCTGTACCATTTTTAACTAGGGGAATTATACTATGAGTATGGGAAAGAACCAAATGAGATTTAAACACTGTAGAAGGAAATTAACTCTCAATCTATTACACTATTTGCTATGCAGTGTATCCAACTGAGTATTTTAGTGACTGTATTTCCGCATATATGCTCAATATAAACATACATCGTATTCCAGGAGACTCTGCAATCATGTTCTCAGTAGAAAGCAGAAGAAAAAACCAGGAGAAGACCATTACAAGGAGTCTAATTTGTACACACAAATGCAGAGCAAAGTAATCAGATCAACAGTATTGTAAAGGAGGGAGATCGTGATTTCAGAATTAAGGTCTCCCAGTTGGGTGAGCAATTTGTACGAGGAAACAAACAAAGATAGCACAAAGTGATTGACAAAGCCTGAAGATATAATCAAGATATATTTCAGGATATAATCAAAACAGTTAAGTAAATTAAAAAAGAAAAAAGTAACTAAAATATTTATTATGTAATATATTTTATATACAAAATTTTTATGCTAACTCTCCTTATTATTAAACATAACAGTGTTCTTTTAGCTGGCCTCTCTAAAAACTAGCAATCATATCATTAAATTCTTACCACAAACTCTCAAAGAAAAAAACCATGAGGAGTGATGTCAGCAGTACAGTAAACCACAGGCACTCATTACCCATGAGGGAGCCAAGTAAAAAAAAGCAGAAAAAACAAAAAAGCAGAAAACAATTTGGGAAAACTCACCCAACCCGTAAAGGAGCAGCTGCACTCTTAGATGCCTGTCCAGAAAACATTAAACTGAAAAATGTAGGAAAGTTCATGACAATTTCCTGGCTTTTGACTCCCCTCCTCCTTCTTACATTGAATTGAGAATGAACTGGCACAAGCCTCACCATTCCCAGAGGTTCCCTCAGGTGAAAATGCAAAAAATATGATAGAAACATTCAGTCAACTAGAAATAGAAAAAAATGATCTCAACACAATAAAGGACATGTATCAAGAGCCCACAGCTAACATCATATTCAGTGTGGAATGACTTAAAACTTTTCCCCTAACATCTAGACAAGGATACTTGCACTATCTCTAAAAAAAGAAATTACTAGAATTTCTAGCAAGAACTCAAGGTAGCAAAAACACATAAAACAATCCCAATAGAAAAAAGAAGCAAAACATCTCTGTTGACGAAATAGAAGAAACCCTGGAGAATTCCTTGGCGGTCCTGGCAAGGTTAGAACTCTAGGCTTCCACTGCCAGGATCAATCCCTGGTGGGGGATCTAGAATCCCACATGGTGCATGTTGTGGCAAAATAAAATAAATAAAAAGCTCTGGAGATTCTGAAAAAAAAAAAAAAAAAAAAAAACAACTGATAAAAATAATGAACTCAAAATAACAATAATAATGAACTCAGAAAAATGACAATATACAAAAATCAATACTTTTTCCCTACATTAACAATAAAAAAATCAAGAATTAAATTCAGAAAATTCCATTTATGATACCATCAAAAAAATAAAGTGTTCAGCAACACCATACAGAAGAAGGGAAAGATATATGTACTATGAAATGAAAACACAGCTAAAAAATATCTGAAAGGTCAAATTAATGCAGACATCCCAAGCTCGATGGATTAAAAGTAAATATGATCAGGGTGTAAATACTACTCTGAGTGGTCAACAGAGTCAACCCAATCCCCAATAAAATCCCAACAGTGTGTAACAAGTATTATTGTGATTTTTTTGAAGAAACAGATACATCCTAAGAGTCAAATGCATTCTCAAAAGACACTCAATAGCAAAACCAAGATTGAAAAGAAGAAATTTGAAAGTTTCACAATTATTTCAAAATTCTTAGAAACCTAAACTAACCCAAGCAGCGTGGTATGAACATAAAAACAGAAAGACCAGTGGTATACAACAGAGACATCAGAAATAAACTCTTGAGTATGTGGCCCAGTGATGTTCCACAGGGGGTGAGGATCACTCCATGGGGACTGGATAGTCTATTAAACAAAAAATGAATTACAGTTCAGATTAAAAGTATCACTCCACTTCCTAAGTTCTCTGATTCAAAATCAGCTGTTGATGTACAAAGAACAATGGCACATAGATGACCAAAAGACAGCATTAACAACAGTTTACACAATAGCCTCAAAATACGAGGATGTGAACTTAGACAATGTTATCCCGAGGAAAAATTCCTATACCATTTACTGAGAATGAAAGGTGGTCACAGTACATGTGAACATCACTGTCACAATGCCACTGAGACAGGCTTTTGTGACATTGCTCAAAACCAGAAAAACACCCAGAAAGATTTATCAGTCAGCTTCTGGTGATATTTCCTGTTTTGTATCATAGAACATGCAGACCACTTCACTACAGGGTGAAGTGGTGATTTTCTATATAGCAGGAAAATATTACAATACATGAGGGATGGTATTCTCCATCAAATTTATCTGTTACCCAGTAAGAGAGAGTCCACCACAAAGTATTGATTAACTGAGGGTGGATTATCGCAGCAAAGAGTCTGGATATAATTTCAGAGCCTAGGACTATGTATTTCATAAACAAACTTCAGAGGCAAAATCACACACAAACTTACAAGAGTATGATATCAGGAAGAGAATACATTCCCAGACTAGATAGAACAGTACAAGAGTGAAAAATACATGAGATATGTGTGTCATACATCACAAGATCTTCAGACAGAACAAAGTGCTCCAGCCACCGACACCAAACTAAGAGCCCGAAAGACACACAAACGCTCCTCATTAGGACTGGGGATCAAAGAGAGCGTGACCATGTCCACTGTCTTTAGTTTTCCTGCAAAATAAGAACAGGAAACAGAATGCATCACCCTGTTACACACAAGCCTGAAGAGTGTGGCCAAGGCAGAAGAGAAGGAATAGAAGAGGGATTCAAACAAGCAGACAGGACGAGAGACAGCTCCATGCAGATTCTGGGGTGCCAAATGCAATCAGAGAGCAGCCAGTGCTTTCCCCCTTCTGATGAAGTCTTCTAAAAACATCAAATGGAGATGGAATGAGCAAAGGTTCAGGGACCATTGTCTGGAGGTATCAGCTCTTATCTCTGTGGACTGGGAACTGGACTGCCAATGGAGTGAAGTCGAGAAGGAGAGATGAGGGAGTAAGAGGCCCCTTTAAAAGTCCACCTCAAGCTCCTCTAAGGCAAGCAACAGGAGTTCACAGGAGTCAGATGGCAGAGTGCTGCAGATCATGATAGAAGCTCCGCCTTTGTCCCTGGTGGGATGTGGTACCACTAGAGGTGAAAGAATACATTTTACATGTGGAAAGACAAGAGGGATAGGTTACAGAGAAGAAAAATTTCCTCTGAGAGTTCACATAGTAGGTAAATGTTTGTACTTCCTATAGAATTCTCTGAGGAGGGGAAAGTCTGTAAACACTATTAATAGTGAGGCTCCCCCGGACCCTTCTGAGATCTGAACCATGTTCACACTTTAATACACCGCCAAAGGCATTCACCTCACTCTCCACTGACCAGGGCTCTTTGTCTTGTTACAAAGTGGATAAAATATTCAGATAAGAAACAGAAATACCTCCACATAAGAGGAAAGACACATGATTTGCTGTGGCTTTGCCAGAATCCTAGTCCCCTGTTCAACTGAGGATTGATGGGAATATAGAGAGGAACAGAAAAATATTTCCAAAATTCACCTGCTGTTTATCTCCTGAATACACAGGGAATAGTATAATGCACAGAAACATAGTCTTTTCCTAAAACTCCTGAATCAAAAGTACACGGGTAAGAAACAGGAAAAGGGGTGTGTTAAAAGTTTTCCATTGAGCTTTATAACTACAAAAGCTCTAGAACTCCTGATGTATCATGAAGTGGGCAGATCGTCAGAGGAAAAGGTAGATTTAAATTCCTGATGCTGCAATCTTGAAGCTCTTCATGTCGGAATCAATAGGGATTTCAGATCAGTCAAGTAAAACCGGGGCTCCCAAGAGGCACACAATGGGAAATACAGTGATACCCCAGGGCAGATCCCAACTTCAGAGGGAAGGCATCCTCACCCAAGGAGACCAGGTTCCTGAGGGTCTCCACCATCACGTCCCTGTACAAGGCCCTCTGAGCAGGGTCCAGGCATTCCCACTCCTCCTGAGAGAACTCTATGGCCACATCCTTGAAGGTCAACTGTGCCTGAAATGAAAACACATTTCACCAAGGGGCCATGAGGAGAGCTCTTATTTTCACACAGACGGAGAAGAGAAGGGAAAGGATCAAGTTGACGTTTGTTCTCTGACAGATCCAAGTAAAGCTATTTGGAGGAAATTACGGGTCTCTAATTTTAATTCTTTATGCTTTTACACAGAGATTATGATAACCTGTAATCAACATGGATTTTTCATTTTTGTGGACAATACATGAAATACATGTAAGTAAGATTCAACAATGAGTTGTTCCTCCAGAAGTGTTAGACAATGTTTTACACACTGACTGCTATTCCGTATCTAGATGAGCTACACTATGAGTGGTGGCATCAGAAATGACAAAGTCAACAGTGCTATTAAAAAAAAGGTCAAAATTTTAAATTATAATCATAAGAACAGCAGCAATGACTAAAAGTGTTCGAATACTTCAATGATGCTATGTATATTCTAAATGCTTTATGGCTATGAACGTCATAGCTCAGTAGAGAAAGACACATGCTGTTCTACAGAGACAAGTATCAGAGACATCTGGAGAAACTCAACTTATGCTGAGTTTCTGTATGTAAGAAATCATACAGCAAGAACCTCAATTAAAGAGAATGCAGTCTTAAACTGAAGATAAAAAAGCATAAACTGAAGTAACAGAAGAGCATAAGAAAAAAAAAAAGAATAGGATTAGAAGCACAATGACAGAGGGTTCCCTGAGACTTGAAATAAGTTCAAAGTGAACAACACAGAAGGCAATAGAAGATCATTACAGATATGCACACACAAACACATATATATAACATGTTAGTAATCTTACTACTATCTGAACCATGAACAAGAGTGTGTAGGAAAAATGCAAGGTCACGGAATATATTTATACTTTGAACTATAATACAGTATACAGTTATAAAATCATGATGTCTTTTATGAAAACCGTGGACTTCTAGATTCATGAACTCATGGACACACATGTAAATGCAGAAATAACTGAAATGAGAGAAGGTGTCTCTGGACATATCTGTGCATGATTTCTTTCACCATCGTTTTAATTCATGTAAATTTCAGCATTTTGGGAAGAATGAAAAAGCATCAACTGTACCAAATGGTAGTAACATGAAAAAAAATAGGATCCTCTGACTGAAATCCTTTGACTGGAATACCTATATATAAAGACAATGAAAACCATAACATTGACATAGATAGGTATTAACAAATGCAAAGCAGAGTTTATTTCTGTATTCCACTCATAAAAGATTGAGTCAAACTTAGAAAAGTTATTACTACTATACATAAAGAGATGAAGAAGAAAATGATCACAAAGCAAAGTTAAAAATTACTTAAAGAATTAAATATCACAACTATAAAGAATATGGAAAAAAATACATTGTAAGTAAGAAAGACTATTTCACCAATCTCATGATCAAAAGGAAAGTCTGAATGCATCCCCTCTGAAGTTACAGTGGACTGATGGGGGCTGGCCAGGGCTCCTGCCTCTCACCAGAGTACAGTGTGCCTGAGCGGGGACCCCGAGAGGATGTCACAGGAGAAAAACAGAGAGTGAGAGACACAAAGAGTGTGTCAGAGAACTGGAACTGTGAACGTTCACAAATCTAAGGACACGAATCTAGTAACAGAGAAAGGATTGGAAAAGACACAGCATCCTAAAGAGAGCAGGGGTGACCATATTAGAAAAAATAAACACAAAAAATTGAGAAAAAGGATATTATATAAAAAGGTTAATTCAGCGAGAAGATAGAATAATTACAAATAGATATACATCTAGGTTGGAGGGCATCACAGACTCAAAGGGCATGAATTTGAGCAAGCTCAGGGAGATGGTAAAGGACAGGGAAGCCTTGTGTGCTGCAGTCCATAGGGTGGCAAAGAGCTGGACACGACTGAGTGACCGAACAATATTACATCTGGCATTAGAACTCACCCAAATATGAAGCAAACAACAGAAATATAGAGAATGACAACAGCAAAATGTCAGCACAGAATTAAATATTCAAGTCATATATGCATGGAAACAAACAATTAAAACAATTGTACCTGACAGACATGTACAGAACATTTCATCCAACAGCAAAAAAACTCAAGAAAATAAAAAGATGTAAACTCTGTATTACTGTTCAAGAAAGTACTGAGAGTCCAAAACAAGAAAAAGTCATTAGACAACAGTCATTAGACAAGAAAAAGTCAAGGTTATACAAATTGAAACAGAGGTAAAATTATCTTTTACTCGAGGTAATAAAGTTTTACATGTACAAACCAAAAAGGCTCCATGAGAAAACTGCCACTTCTAAAAATAACCTTAAAAACTGCAGCAGGGAATTCCCTAGCAGTCGAGTGGTTAAGATAGGTCATTATATCTACTACCGTATGCAAGAATCCCTTAGAAGAAATGGAGTAGCCATCATAGTCAACAACAGGATCCAAAATGCGGTGTTTGGGTGCAATCTCAAAAACAACAGAATGATCTCTGTTCAGCTAAAAGGCAAACCATTCGAAATCACAGTAATCCAAATCTATGCCTCAACCACTAATGCTGAAGAAGCTGAACTTGAATGGTTCTATGAAGACCTACAAGACCTTATAAAACTAACACCCCAAAAAAATGTCCTTTTCAGCACAGGGGACTGGAATGCAAAAGTAGGAAGTCAAGATATACCTGAAGGAACAGGCAAGTTTGGCTTTGGAGTATAAAATGAAGCAGGGCAAAGGCTAACAGAGTTTTGCCAAGAGAATGCACTGGTCATAGCAAATGACCAACAACACAAGAGAAGACTCTACACATGGACATCACCAGATGGTGAATACTATAATCAGACTGATTATATTCTTTGCAGCCGAAGATGGAGAAGCTCTGTACAGTCAGCAAAAACAAGACCTGGAACTGACTGCGGCTCAGATCACGAACACCTTACTGCAAAATTCAAGCTTAAATTGAAGAAACTAGGAAAAACCACTAGACCGTTCAGGTATGACCTATGACCTAAATCAAATCCCTTATGATTATATGGTGGAAGTGACAAATAGATTCAAGGGATTAGATCTGATAGACAGAGTGCCTGAAGAACCATGGACAGAGGTGTGTAACATTCTACAGGAAGCAGTGATCAAATCCATCCCTAAGAAAAAGAAATGCAAAAAGGCAAAATGATTGTCTGAAGAGGCCCTACAAATAGCTGGGAAAAGAGAAGCAAAAGGCAAAGGAGAAAAGGAAAGATACAGACATCTGAATGCAGAGTTCCAAAGAATAGCAAGGAGAGATAAGAAAGCATTCCTTAGTGATCAGTGCAAATAGAGGAAAACAACAGAATGAGAAGACTTGAGATCTCTTAAAGAGAATTAGAGATACTAAGGGAACATTTCATGCAAAGATGGGCTCAATAAAGGACAGAAATGATATGGACCTACGACAATCAGAAGAGATGGCAAGAACACACAGAAGAACTATACAAAAAAGATCTTCATGACCCAGATAACCACAATGGTGTGATAACTCATAGAGCCAGATATCCTGGAATGCAATCAAGTGGGCCTTAGGAAGCATCACGACAAAGATAGTGGAGGTGATAGAATTCCAGCTGAGCTAGTTCAAATCCTAAAAGATGATGCTATTAAAATGTACTCAATATGCCAGCAAATTTGAAAAACTCAGCAGTGGCCACCAAACTGGAAAAGGTCAGTTTTCATTCCAACCCCAAAAAACGGCAATGCCAAAGAATGTTCAAACTACCACACAATTGCACTCATTTCACATGCTAGCAAAGTAATGCTCAAAATTCTCCAAGCCAGGCTTCAACAGTACATGAACTGAAACTTCCATATGTTCAAGCTGGATTGTGAAAAGGCAGAGGAACCAGAGATCAAACTCCCAACAACCGCTGGAACATAGAAAAAGCAAGAGAATTCTAGAAAAACATCTACTTCTGCTTTATTAACTACCCAAAGTCTTTGACTGTGTGGATCACATCAAACTGGAAAATTCTTAAAGAGATGTGCATACTAGACCACCATACCTGCCTCCTGAGAAACCTGAATGCAGGTCAAGAAGCAACAGTTAGAGCTGGACACGGAACTATGAACTGGTTCAATATTGGGAAAGGGGTACATCAAGGTTGCATACTGTCAGCCTGCTTATTTAACTTATATGTTGAGTACATCACTTGAAATGCTGGGCTGGAAGAAGCACAAACTGGAAACAAGATTGCAGGGAGAAATATCAATAACTTCAGATACAAAGATGACACCATCTTTATGACAGAAAGCGAGAGGAACTAAAGAGTCTCCTGATGATGGTGGAAGAAGAGAGTGAAAAAGCTGGCTTAAAACTCAACATTCAAAAAAAGGAAGATCATGGCATCCAGTCCCATCACTTCATGGCAAATAGATGGGGAAACAATGGAAACAGTGGCTGACTTTATTTTCTTGGTTCCAAAATTACCGGAGATGGTGACTGCAGCCATGAAATTAAAAGAAGCTTGCTCCTTGGAAGAAAAGCTATGACAAACCTAGACAGCATTGCCCAAGGAGGTAAAAGATTTGCTCATTGAAAATTACTAAAGTTTGCTAAGAGAAATCCAAGGACATAAGTAAAGTAAACGATACTCTGTACTCATGAATTGGAAGACCCAACAGTTTTAAAATGACTTTATTACTGAAAATGTTAGATTCTAATGGTATCCCTGCCAAAATTTCAAAGGCAATTTTTGCTGTTAAAAAAAAAAAAAATTACAATTCACAGGGAACCTCAAGGGACCCCAGTCAAAATACTCTTGAAACAGAAGATGGAGGCTGTCCTTTTCAAAATTCAAAACATATTACAAAGTAATCAAGATGATGTTGTACTAGCATAAGCCCAGATACATAACCCACTGGAACAGATTAGAGTACCAGAAATAATTCAGTGAATGTGATATAAAATGTACAGACAACGGTGCACAAAGGGTAAAGGACAATCTCGATAACAAATGATATAGAGCAACTCTATACAAC